TGTTGATTTTGTAACCTGAGATGCTGCTGTATTTCTTGATCACTTCTAAGAGTTTTGTAGTAGAATCCCTGGTGTTTTCCAGATATACAATCATATCATCTGTGAAGAGTGGAAGTTTGATCTCTTCTGACCCTATATGGATGCCCTTGATCACCTTTCTTCCCTAATTTGATGGCTAAAACTTCCATTACAATGTTAAAGAGCAGTGGAGACAGTGGGCAACCTTGCTTGGTTCTGATCTGAGTGGAAATGATTTCAATTTAACTCCATTCAGTATGATATTGGCTGTGGGTTTGCTGTAGATGGCCTCTAAATTGTTCTATTTCATTATTAGTTATTATTGTTAATCTATTACTGTGCCTAATTTATAAATTAACCTTTGTCTTAGGTATGCATGTATAGGAAAAAACATAGTATATATAGGGTTGGTATTATTTGTGGTTTTAGGCATCTATTGGAGGTTTTGGAATATGTCTCCTGGGTATAAATGTACTATTGTATGTTCTAAAGTTTAGTAGTGGTGTCACCTGGGGCATATTATTTAAACTTTAAGTCTTGTTTTCTTCATCTGTAAAATCTATCTCACAGGATTTTTATGAAGATTAAATACCTAGAGTAGGGAAAGTGTTTAGTCCAATGCTTAGTGTTATGGTTTAAATATTCAGTAAATGCTGTCTGCTACTATCATCATTAATAAAACTTTTTTTGTGCTAGTATAAATAAATCCCTTTGTTTTAAGCCAGAGTTCTTAATTTATTTCCTAATGAAATGATTAACTTTTTACCTCCCATTCCTTGCATTCTCCCTCCTTTTTTTCTTCATTATATTTTATGTATGTGGAGCGTGCCAAAAATATGTGTAAATTTTTTCAGAAGGAAAAGATTGTATAAATCTGTAATACTCAAGTTGTGCTTGACTTCTGCCGTCATGCCCATATGAGAGGGGCTCAGTGTGACTTGTGGTCGTCTTTTGTTCCCGTTATATACTGAACATTACAATCTTAATACGGTTTTCCCTCTTTTAATGTGTGTACATTTTTGCACCCTCTGTATATTCAGACATTTTATAGAGTATTTACAAAATACTCTCTATATGTTGGCCATCTCTTTGTAAAATTTTATAATGAATATTTTGCAAATAAAGGTATATTTAGTTAAAATTTCCTGCTTTCCCCATGTGTAGTGAATTTAGGGACACTCCGTGTGTGTGCTTGTGTATTTATCAGAAGGAGATCACAGAAAGTCCCTTTTTTACCTCTGATGAATTGGGGGCGGCATTTCTGTAGGTTGAGATAAGGATCTGAAACTCAGTAATGTAGACAGACCACTGGACTTACTCCTTTTGAGTGAAAAAATATAATATGGGTGCTTGTATGTGTGTAATCTAGGTAGGTATATGTTTTCTGTGTTTTTTTCTTATGACTACTATGTGTTAAATCTGAGTAAAAAAAAAAAAAGTTCTGTAAGCAGACCATCCAAGGGACTGTAACAAATTGGTCAACATATGGAGGTTGTCAGTATAGGAACTGGACCTACTGTATTGATATGTACATATGCTGCATGTCCAGTCTGTGAAAATTAGGTCAACTTAAGGAGGTGGTCAGTGTAGGGAGGTGGCACCTATGGAGGTTCTACTGGATTGGGTATGAGTAAGCTTTAAGCATCACGAGTTTGGCAGTGCTTGACTTTGGGTTTCTT